TTGTTTGATTTTTTCTTAAAAAAAAAAATTAATAAAATTTTTTTTGTAGGACTTACCTCCGGATGGATCCAAGGCTTGAAGGATCGCTACATCTACAAGAAGGTAAGCATAATTGTTAGTTGTTTGATTTTTTCTTAAAAAAAAAAAAATTTAATAAAATTTTCGTTTGTAGAACTTACCTCAAAATGATCCAAGGCTTACAGAATCCGGTTTGCTATCATATTCAAGATTTGAAGAAGCCATTTCGTTATATAAATAAGGTAAAATTAATTTTTCATTCTTAAATTTACCTTAGATCAAAGTAAATTAGTATATTTATTAAATAAAAAAAAAACATTTCTAATAAACTTACCATTTGCATCACAGAAACTCATTTATTCCATATGCTTTAAAAGACAAATTGGCAAGATCTATTGCAAGACCAACCCACATATGGTTTTACTATACACTGAATATTTCAAAGAAAGAAGTATATATCGTTAGCAACTTTAACGCGCATAAATCTATAGCGCATTTCCTAAATTTGATTGGCTTGATATCACATGATAATTACCGTTGATCATCCAATGAAAATAATTAATTTGTCCCAAATGTTCCAGACATAAAAATTTTATGTTCATATCTATAGGACAGTCTGGGATCAGACAGTCCATGTCTATGTTCATGTCTCATGACAACACTGAGTCTTACATATCTCTCCTTGTATATTTTTGTAGCCGTAAAGGTTTCATTATATTTGATCTAAGATGGCATTTTTACAAAGCTTTAGAAAAACTTAGACCCTTTATTCCTGTGAGAGGTGGGAGATAAATTTTTATTTTTTTTCTGAATTTTTTCTGCAATAGATAGGTCGCATTCAAAAACTTTCCTGTGCTCATCACTATTTCACCAAAAGCATTTTACAATGAATATCTCACTGTTAGTATATACACGATCGAATCACTACTGATTCTTATCATATATGCGTTTATATTGTAAAAATTCTAGTGGAGCTTTCTGGTTAAAATATACAAAGTTTTTTGAGTCTTTTTCTTTGATAGTCCAATCCCTAAGATAGTTAGAATGTCTTTGCAAAATAAGGTTCGCGCATTTTTGTAATATATCATGACTTATAATTATTCTTAGTGAATTATTATTTTTTTCTGTGTTAAGTAATCGGGGTCTTACTTTAACTTCTAAGCTAATAAGTGACTAAACTCTAGTATGATTAGGATCATTCTACTTATTATCCAGTAAGAATTGGAGAATACGCTTCATACAACCTTTTTTGCTGAACTGATAAGGTGAAGGTTAAAATTCTGACCAGGTAATTCTCAATCAATATACTTACTAAATTTCTTTTTGGTTAAGGTATATACTAATTCTGTGAATGCTTTGAGTTCATAATGATCGATAAGAAGAGTCAGTGCATATAAAATGTAGTAGTTACACTTGCTAAGGTCTGATGATATAGCAATTACCAATTCTCTGAAAATATCTTTCCAGCTACAATTAAAAATTTGATACAAAACTCTTATGAAAGATAAACAGATTTGAATGAATACTTCTTGTACTTTAACACCATTTGCTTTCATATCTTCTTGTAAAGCATCTATATTGATCATGACTCTTAAAGGATTTTGACTGTTAATATATTCATGAATCTCAGGCAAGCCGTATACTTCAGAAATATCATCTGCAATGGAAAACTTTGAGGCTCAATTACTATCTTGGTCGATTTTGATAACTAATTTATCTTCCACTTCATCCTGGTCATAAGCATTATATAAACTAGACATTTTTTCATTCAGAAAGAGAAATGAATAGATTGGAAAACATTTCAATGACCCCTTTTCATCTGACATATCTTTAGGTAGTGATAGGAAAATTTTTCGAATGGAATTTAGCAAGTCCTTAGAAGAAAAATTATCATTAAACTTTTTCTGCCTTAAATTATATGCCACATTAATCTTTTATTCTTTTACATTTAATGATTGAACCAATGAAGTCTTGATAGTGCTGGTTGAAGTGCAGGGAGTTTCTTCATTATCTGACTCATAATTAGATTTATAGTCATTATAATCATCTGACCCTAAGTCAGATCTATTATCAGTACAATTAAATATTCATTAGGGCTGGCACCATCATAGCAGGCAGTTCTGATGTAATCAGTTTGGTTAAAAATAGTTAGTATATGCATAATGATAATTCGAAAAGTTATACTATCTTTATAAAATTCGAAAATGTTTAATTTATTTTTTCAGAAGATGTAAAAAGAGGCATATAGAAACTCAGTAAATAAATTGTAAAGAAAGGCAAATAAATATACAACTAAAAATGAAAGTTTCTGCGTAATCTATTATATAAATATTAGCAGAAACCCTTTAACAATATGTTAAGATGTATTCAGATATGATAGAGGCTTCTTTGGTGTAAACTTTATGCCTTGATGGATGCAATAAAGAAGTGATAGCAAACTTAGTTAACAAATTGTAAATAAAAGAGAAACAGATATATATCTGAAAGTGGAGTCTTCTTTAGAATTATTATATAAAAAATTGGAAGAAGGTCCCATTTTTTTAGACATGTATTTGGATATGATATAAATAGGTCAGCTATGATAATACATATCACACCTCCAATCACAAGACGTGAAATTGGAACAAATTGAAAATAAAAGGCAAGCGGATATATCTGAAAAAGTGTAATTTTCTTCGTAATCTATTATATAAAAATTAGAAGAAGACTACACTTTTCTAGGTATGTACTTGAATGTATGTAATATATATTAAATACTTAAAGGGGAACAGAACTGCATTGCTAGTATTATCACATTATACCTCTGATTTTCTAACTAATTGAAACACCAGACTGAAGTTCAAATATCTCTTAAAAGTAACGAGAAAGTTGCGTAAAAATAGCGAGAAAGTTGCGAGAAAGTACCAGGAACTAAAGGTATAGTAAAATTAACAAAAATTTTAACTAGCATTATTCTTCATCATAATTTCAGCCAGAACTTTAAATATAATAATTCAGCACCTAAGCTGGTATATAAGTGATCTGAAACTGACGAATTAATAAAATTATACTAGCTTCTTGCCAGTTTTACATCAGTTCCATGATAGTTCTAGAAGAATTCTAAGCACTACTAGATCACTACCATGACACCTCCTCAAATCATATGTCCAAAAGATCAGCCAGAAATTATGCCATAATGCTGACCAAATTTAGACACAAATTTATATCAAATTATTATGTCACCTGACGTGATATTTTTTTATCACATTTTGGTATCTAGAAAAGCAACCAAATAGGCGCAAATTCTTAATATAGAACTAGCATCCAAACTGGCTGGCCTAATACTGGCAACTAAGAAGGATAGCATGACACTACGTATTCAGCCAGCAATCAAAAGGCTTAAAAACAGAAAACAAACCATCATATACTTAGTAACCAATTAGCCATGAAGCCCTATCAGCATAAATTATACCAGAAAGTATTTATTAACACATAGCATATAATAAAAAAAGGCATATTCAGATTATTTAATTATAGTCATAATTAGATTATTTAATCACATGATCACAAATAATAAATAGGAAACAAGAAAAGAAATCCGATTTCAAAGGTAAGAAATATAATAAGAAAAAATAGATAGGTATAAAAAATCACCACAATTAGATTATTTAATTATTTAATCATAATTAGATTATTAACTTTAGATTATTTAGTTATATTTAAATTATTTAGTTATATTTAGATTATTTAATCATATTTAGATCATTTAGTCATATCTAGATTATTTTATTACTAAATAACCTAATCTAAGCTATTTATGGCTAAATAATATAATTATATTATTTAGTCATAAACGGCTACTTTATCAATATTGAAGATATTAAAATTCTAATCCAAGATTCTTAAAGCACAGGTCATGGTTATTTATTTTATAATAAAATTTTGTTTGCATTTTAAATTTGTTAAAGTTCCTGTTATAGAGGTTCTACACTATAGTATATGAAGTATTCAGTAAACACAAATAATAATTCTTCACAGACGCCATGGTTCCAAATAAGTCAATAATTCGCGTATCCTGTATAAATATTAACTATTTGTGATTTCCTCTTAACTTTTTTTTTCAACCTAACTGCCCAAGATATATTAAAAATGAGAATAGCATATTTAACATTGATACTTGTCGGATTGATGACAACGCTTGAAGTCGATTCCCTACCAATATTATCAGATTCTCCCTCAAATAATTTTTTACATAATACGATTTCTTTACTTTGTTTAGTTAATAGAGAACGTGTGAAAGTTAGAGCAAGACCCTTGGCTCTCGACGAGTAAATATTTGTGATATTATTAAAAAATGATTTTCCCACACATTTTATTTAACGTTTTTGTTTTGTTTTTTAAGGCGGCTAATAAAAGCAGCACAACTTCATACAGATTATATGGCTTTAACCGAAAATTTAACACATGATGATATTGCCGGACCATTAGGTACCCGAATAACAGATCAAGGTTTTGATTGGTGGATGGCTGGCGAGAATATCGCATATGGCTTTACGGAGAAAGAATCAACTAAAGTCATGAAAGCGTAAGCATCAATAATAATACTTTACCTTTTTTTCCTCTTTAAAATAAAAAATAATAAATATGATATGTATGTATATCAATCATTATTACCTTTTCTTTTGTAGATGGATGAATTCAAAAGGTCATAGGGAAAATATTTTAAATAAAAAATTTACGCATTTCGGTTCTGGATTTAAGAATAATTATTGGACTCAAAATTTTGCTCAATCTGCTGATGGGTATCCACCAAATGTTCCTATATGTCCTAGAAAGTCTATGAATATAAATATGCAAATATAAAGACATAATTTTTTTTTTTTTTTTTATAAACCAATTCATTCATGTAAAAAAAAATTATTAAAGGAAGAAGAGATGAAATGTTAGTGTAACAACCTCACATGTTTAAAGATCAGTGGTTGACTTGATAGTTTTAAAATGATTGGTTAAATTTAAAATTCATAAAAGTTGAATGGAGTTTAAATTTTTTTGCATTCATACCTTTTTTTTTTTTGCACCATCATTCCCTTCGACATTTAGTTGTTATTAACTCTCATTTTAAATCATGGCGAATAGAACAGTATCAGATGCGATAGCCGTACATGGAACAAATCCACAATATTTAATAGAAAAGATCATTAGAACTAGAATTTATGAATCACTTTACTGGAAAGAATTCTGTTTCGGTTTGACGGGTATGATTCATATTTATTAAATTTTAACTCCTAAATATAATGATATTGAAAATCATACTCTTTTTTTTTTTTTTAGCCGAGACGTTGATTGATAAAGCAATAGAATTAACATCATTTGGAGGAGAATATGGAAATCAAAGGCCAACAGAATTTCTTTGTTTGACATTGAAATTACTACAATTACAGCCAAGTAAAGAAATTGTTTTGGAATTCATTAGAAATGAGGATTATAAATATTTAAGAGCACTTGGGGCATTTTATTTGAGACTGGTTGGTAATTCACTAGAAATTTATCAGACTCTTGAACCTTTGCTTAATGATTATAGAAAATTAAGAAAAAGAACAAACGGTATGTAATAATAGATAATAACTTTCGAATCATGTTATCAATTATTTGATCTTTAATAGTCAATTAATATAGATGGTGACTTTGAAATTGTTTGTATGGATGAATTCATTGATGAGTTGTTAAGAGAAGAAAGAGCATGTGATACAATATTGCCTAGAATATTAAAGCGGTACGTATTGGAAGAAAATGGAGAATTAGAGCCTCGTGAAAGCGTTTTACAAGATCTCGCAGATGAAGAAGAAGCTGAAGAAACAAAAGAGAATGAAGAGGAAGGGGATGATGGATTAAAGATAGAGAAATCTTCAGACAATGAATCTGCTACTGAGTCGCCTAAAGAGAATAATAAGAAGTCACCCAAAGCAAATATTGCAGAACAAGAAGAGCAAGAGGAGGAAGAGGAGGAAGGAGAAGTGAAATCAAGAAGTAGTAAAAGTAAAGAGAGAAGTAAGAGGGAAAGGAGTTCGAGTAGGAATAGAGGTAAAAGTAGTAGAAGGAATAGAAGTTATAGTAGATCAAGAACTTCTCCGTCAAGGAGATATAGTAGGAGCAGATCAAGGTCACCTAAGAGAAGAGGCGGAGATTGGAGGGCTGATAGATGTGAGAATATAACATTTCTCTTAACTTACATTATTATCCTTACGACTTTATATTACTGATACCTACTCTCCTATGTTATAAAACCATTTAGATGTTCCAAGTGATAATCGTGGTAATAGAAGGCGTAGGCGTATATCATATTCCCGTTCCAGATCACGCTCGAGATCAAGAAGTTATGATCGATATGAACCAAGTTACCGTAGAGGTAAATCATTCTCCTCTTCTTCATATCGACCTTCACGCCATAGATCTTATACAAGAAGTCTCAGTAGAGACAAGTGATAGGTAAGTACTTTATAAATATAAATATATTTTTTTAGAAGAATCATGATATCATTACCACATTGTATTTCAATAGTAATAATTTGTATTGATTTATGGTTTTATTTAATTATGATGATTATTGCTATATTACAATATAATTATTATTGACGCCCAATATAGAATAAATAAATATATGAAATATTAAATTTTATCTTGACCGGTTAGATTCTCAATTAATTCGGCTAATGGCTGTAATTCCTTTGTTTCAATCAATTGAAACTCTTTTACAAAATAAATATAATGTTTAAAGCTAGTATTTAAATGAGCCTCCTCTCCTAATGCAACTATAACTCGGAAATGTGATAAATAAATATGTGCATACACTCGAAATAATCGTTTGAATATCGTTTTAACTACTTGTGGAAAATTCCTTGGAAATGGGACCCCGATTTTGCTTGGAAACAATGTTTCATCATCTAATTGATGTTGCACCCATTCCATTAAATTGTCAACATAATCTGGTGCTGATAATTTAGTCGGTTTCTTAAATCCATCCGACCAATAATATTCAAATTGTGGTCCAGCCGACATTACCGGACATTCTTGGGGCGTGCAAAATTCCGTAATTGTACCATAAAGCATGTTGATTTGATTGAAAAAGTCATACGCTACAAATTAAAAAAAAAATGCATCATAAGATTATTAAAATCATTTTGGTCAAACGCTAATACTTTATTCATGTACTTACTGTTCACGGCATACCATTCGTTAATGTTTTCGCCTTCTGGTAAGACCACTGCCAGTTTCAAGTCACCCGACCCAAGCGTAGCTTCTGCGTACTTTTGAAGTTGTTGTTGCTTTGTACCTTCTGGTACGTTCCTTTTTGGCTTGAACGTTTTATTCTTGTTTCTATTCGATACAAGAGAAAAAATTTAAACGAATTAAAGAGTGCAACCGCGTATATTTTACAAGTGAATAAGTACTCACAATCCTAAAAAGTTCATAATGAAAGTAGAAATTCTTTTAAAAGAAAGAAAGAAACAAATATAGGGAGGAACCGATTAATTAAAATTATAAATTTAAAAAAAAGTGTTTAATTAACCCTTGTCAATTAGGGGTTGTGAAACAACATGATTTCATGCAGATAAATTCCCGCCACATTTGATAACAATAATAAAAAAAAAAAAAAAAAAAAAAAAATTTTTAAAAAAAAACTGTTTTTTCGGGTCAATTTATGTTCAAGAGGTTCGTAGGTTAAAAAAAAAATTTCGTTTATGATTATTAATTAAACGAAATAATGAATAAGTTAAATCACAACGGCTTATTGGTATTGGAACAACCTTTTATAAAGGTGAATAAATTTAAATTAAAAAGACGCATTTACGAATGAAGTGTTTTTTTATCCTTACGTTTGCTGTTTATGTAGGTTCCTTTAGAGCAACTTAAAAAGACCGCAAAAGGTTCTCACAAGGAACTTGATAGAGAGTTTGCAAAAGCTAGTTTGACGGTCAGTGAATTAGCGAACAAGTCGAATCAAGAACAAATTCTTGTATCGGACGCGAATTTTGCGCTTGAAGGAATGGTTGGAAGATTACAAAGTCTAAAGCGCAAGGCAATTGTTTATTTAATCATTTTGTTCGTTTACTTTGATTTAAACAATTAGTGAATTTTGGCATAAAAAAATTTCCCGGATCTTTAATTCAGCTCAACGATGCTAAAGTTGAGGAGGCGATGTATGTATCGAGGAGTAAACAACGACTTTCTCATCTTAATGAATTAACTCATATTCAAAGTGCGAATTCTGAGGAGTACACGATTTGGAGCAAAGTAAGGTTAGATCGCATCCTTGTGGATTACATGTTAAGAGAAGGATTCAGTGAAACTGCTACACACTTGGCAAACGCTGAATCAATTGAGGTAGAGGTTGTTACTTTCATTATTTTACAATATTTACTCGTGATCTCACAATTATAAATTTATTAATTTTTAAATTGTCGAATCCATCATCAGGCATTTGTTGATGTTGAATTGTTTTCACAAGCAAGACGTGTTGAACAAGCTTTGCAACGATTTAGTTGTAATGAAGCTCTTCGATGGTGTAATGATAATAAATCAAACTTACGCAAGATGCAGGTAAGATACCCTCCCCCTTTTTTTTGTTTTTTACACGGAGCATTCTATTTACGGTATTTCAAATAAATTTGTTCGAATATATATAATTATGTAATAGAGTACGTTTGAATTTAATCTTCGCCTTCAAGAATTTATCGAGCTAGTTCGTGCCGGTAAAAGAGGGGAAGCGATCCTTTATGCTAAGAAGTATTTAAACTCCTTCCAAGAACTGCATCTGAAGGAAATTCAACGAGCAATGACTCTGCTCGCGTTTCAACCTGGCACAAAATGTCTACCTTATAAGGTTCTTTTCTTTTCTTTTTTCTTTTTAAAAAAAAAATATATATTCAAGTGCAAATTATATGTACACATTAATTGACTCATCTAAAAAAATCTTCTTAAACGTAGAAATTATATGACGCGTCTCGTTGGGATGCACTTATTTCACAATTTCGCGCCGATAACTTTGCATTGAATTCCCTAACATCACAGCCTCTCTTAACTGTCACCCTTCAAGCTGGATTGTCTGCACTTAAAACACCCATGTGTTGTCAACCAGATAATAAAAATATTAATTGTCCCGTGTGTTCTCCAGACACTTTAGGTTTACTGGCACAAAATCTTCCATTAAGTCATCACGTAAATTCAACCATTGTTTGTCGATTAAGTGGAGAAATCATAGATGAGGATAATCCTCCCATGTCTTTACCCAATGGATATGTTTATTCACTTAAGGTAAAAAAAATTAACATTAATATTTGATATAATGTTGTCGATCTTTCTTTAATTGATTTGTCTCTCTCTCTCTCTTCCAAAGGCGTTGCAAGATATGTATAATAAAAGTGGACAAATAAAGTGTCCAAGGACGGAAGAAGTTTATGATTTTAGTCAATTGAAGAAAGTGTATATTTCTTAATTGACGACAAATTTAGTGAAGGGAATCAATAATGTATAAAAACATTTAGTGTGAAATGAACTATAACGAGTGAATGAACTTTTTAAAAAAAAACACGTAAAAGGAAAATGAACTTTTTTTTTTTTTATTCTGCAAGTTTTTAAATTAAAAATTACAAGAATAGTGCGAATTGAATTGACAAATCGCATCATATTAATTATTGAAAAAAAAAATTTATCTAAATATAATTAAGCAAGTAATAATAAATTATAATAGTAATTATTATATTTCCCTATTTTTCTTTCTTTCCGGTGTAATAATAATCTTGAGTGAGTTGTACAAAATATTTATGTAAACGGTCATCATTCGTCAATTCAGGATGAAAAGCTGTAGCCAAAAGATTATCTTGTTTGACAGCTACAATCGCTGAAGTATCAGTTTCACCGACATTATGTTCTAATCGTGCAAGCACTTCTATATCAGGAGAATTAATTGAAGAAATAATTGGTGCACGAATAAATACGGCAGGAAATAAATGATCCGATGAAGTTGTAACGTTTTCGATACGTAATGCTGATTCAAATGAATCGATCTAAAAAGAGGGAGAGAAATTATTCTTTGAAAAATCAAATTTTGAAATCATTTTTTTTCTTTTGAATGAACGACTTACTTGACTACCGAATTGATTTCGATTAACCGTGATATCTAATCCACCGATCAAACTCTGACCACCTTTTTTAGTTTTATTAGCTTCATTAGCCAACAAGATCATACCAGCACAAGTACCCCAAGTAGGTTTTCCACTACGAACGAATTCACGAAGGGGTTCCATCAACCCACTACGTTCGGCTATCAAAGCCATTGTGGTAGATTCACCCCCGGGTATTATTAAAGCATCAATCGTTGCTAATTGTTCTACTTTACGTATCGGTATAGCGGAAGAAACTTGTGGAATGTTTTGTAACATGTGTATGTGTTCTTGAAAGGCCCCTTGGAGAGCTGTGAAAAAAAAAAAAAAGGAAAAACGTATATAAATGAAGTTCACGGTTTAAACTGTTTCAACGAGGAAGGATTTCCTACCTAGTATTCCAAAATGAAACCGTCTTGATCGATTGACCTCATTATTATTAACGTCTTCGTTATTAATGTGAACCATGGTTTTTTTTTTTTTACTTTATTTGTAATTGAAATGAAGTTGCACAAATTTTGCCTTCTTTATGTGGGATAATCTTAGATTTTCCTTGTTACACTGCAGGATTCCACCAATAGGATCCAAAAAAGTTAGGAGACGGACTTTTAAACTTGAAATACCTTTATACACTCCGAAGATTATGAAAGCACAAGAAATATACAGAATGGAAGAAATTAATGTCGACGATAGAAAAGAAATCCTTTCTGTTGAACAACAAACATTACAACCCACCTCCCCAAAAGAAGAAGAACCGGCACATTCTTCTAACGATGATCGTGAATTTGAACGCGATCATAATTATCAGCGAACGAGAGAAGAAAACACGACGCAATTACAGGAAGAAAAACAAAACGAAATAGCTGATCAAAATGAACAGTCCCTTTCGTATGAATCCGATCCAATAGAAAGGAATATTCAAGACTCATTTGAACGGAATTCCAGATATTCTGAAAAACATAAGAACGGGAGCAAAAATTACAATCGCAAGAGAATACGATCCAATAGTGATCGTAGTGATTCGTATTACTCACAACCATCAGAGGAGTTACAAATGGGCGCAACTCCACCACCACCAGCACCACCTCATCCTGATTTGGTGTCAACTCCAAACCGTCCAGCTGCCATTGCCGATTTAAAAACATCCTTACATCATCATAGACCCAGGACACCTATTTATGAACCCGAAATTCACCCTCCTTCTTCATGGCATTCAAATAATAGAATGCCTCGAAAAGATTATTTTACTGATGATCGAAAAAAGAATCGAATGCGTTATAGGAATCGGGATTTTAATCATGAACGAATGCATTTGTTTGATAGAATACAAATCAAAGATAATAGAAACCGTGGACCAGAGAGAGAGAGAGATTACGAAATAATGGATCGAAAGGAAAGATATGAAAGGGAAAGGGGCTTAAGGGTAGAACGTGAACATGAAATACGTGAACGAGATGTAGTACGGCCACGTGATAATCCGACGAGATATTATGAAGAACCCCACCCGCGCTTTCGAGTTCCATATTATGAGTATGGTAGGGAAGCGGATAGAATACGAGCTCCTTATTTTGATTACCATCGCGAACCGGATTTTAGAGAACGAGAGTATCCTCGTTATCGTGATTTTGATTGGGACCCTTATTATCATCGTGCGTCACCGCCACCTCCTGGTCACTTTCATTATAGAGACAACTTGAAACGACCTAACGATTATTTTTATCAACAATCCATTTATCCTAGAAGGTCATTATCTCCTCGAGCTCGTTATTCACATAATAGGCGTTCACTTTCACCTAATTCTAGACGTGTATCGAATCCTACGTATGAACGTCGATATGAACGGGATCGTCCGCCTCGCTATGATTCGATTCGTGAGAATGAATTTGACGCACGTAGAAATTCCATACATTATAATGCGCCTCATTATAATGAATTACACTCTCCTGGATTTGATCATTACAATCCTCCTGCAATACCACCAAGTCCTATCAACTTAAAATCTTCGTATGAAGATAATGGTTTTACTGGCGTGGTTTCAACGGTTAATGAGTCATCATACGAACGAGAACGTCCTCCCAAAGCAAGAAATTGGGATATAAATGCAGATAAAGGGAATAAAGAGGGAAAAAGAGGTCAAAATAATTCCAATGACAATGCTGGTGGAGGTTATGAACGTGAACGTGGTCGTGGTCGTGAGAGACGAAAACTTTGGGACGAAATTATTCACGATAAACCAAAGGACGTGGATGCGGATAATCATAGCAATAGTACTATCGTCAGTACTACACCCAATGCAAATAATAACAGTAGCACAGATCGTACTCGTGATCGTATCCGCAACGAAAAATCGAGGAATATGAATTCTAATGACGATAAATACCATGATATCAGCACAGATCGTAATAGCAATAGCGGTGATGCGACTAAAGAACCTTATGAACGTCATGCTACACGTGAGAAAAATAACAAATATTGGGAAAAAAATGAAGAAAAGAGTAGAGATTTTGATCGTAATATCACAAAGAATCGTGAAAGAGATAACAAAGAAAGAGGTAACTTTTATCAAACATTATCTTATGACATATAAAAATTTTTACCGATTTTAAGAATTCTCTCTTTGGTTTCTTTGTTTCAGCTTCATAGTCTCATAAATCTTTTACCTCATTCAAATAGATGACTTTTAAAACAATCCTGTAATTAAAGAATCTTTATTTTTGGATCTAAATTGAATTTATAGTTAAAATTTATTCTCTAGTTATTGTAGAACTTCTTTCGTACGATGGTGAACAAAACGTTAATCAAATAAAAAAAGAAAAAAAAAAGGTTATATAAAGTAATAATAAAATTTCCTATCTCTTAACTTGTATGGTATGGTTACATTAACATCCCGCGTGTGGAATCTTTATTAAATATTATATTACAGCAATAATGCAGAAATCTATTGAACAAATATTTTTAAAGATTATTTAATGTATTATTAGGTAGTGGGGGGAAATTAAAAACAAAAAAATTAATTTAAAGGAAAAAAAATAATTAATCTAAGGAGAAATAAATAGTTCGGCATTATTAATTTCGTATTAAAGTTAAAAATTCTTCTCTAGTTTTGGCCTGTTCCCTAAATACGCCCAGCATTACGCTTGTCACAGTTGAACTACCGGGTTTTTGAACTCCACGCATTGACATACACAAATGACTTGCATCCATTACAACAGCAACACCTTGAGGCTTAAGTATTTCTTGTAAAGCTATTGCGATTTGTTTTGTCAAACGTTCTTGAACTTGAAGTCTTCTTGAAAACATTTCTGCAATACGAGCTATTTTAGATAATCCGATAACGCGTCGATTTGGAATGTATCCAATACTGATCTATTAATTCGTAAAGATATTATATGAGTTATTAAAATTTTGTAAACATTATTAATAATTTAACGAGGAAACGATACCTTTCCGGTAAATGGAACCAAATGATGTTCACATAGAGAAAATACTTCGATATTTTTTACAATAACCATCTCGTCGTGATCTACCGTTTAGTTTCAAAACAAGTCTAATACAGTATTCTAGCATGTAAAAAAAAAAAAAAATCGAACCATTTACCTTCTTCAAATATAGCATCATTGACAATCTCTATAAAAAAAAAAAAAAATTACGTTTAAATTTACATTTTCTCATACTAAGAAACCAAAAATATATGTATCATACGTTCAATGCTTTCTTCATATCCCTTAGAGAAAAACATCAATGCTTGAGCATATCTATGAGGAGTTCTTAGTAAACCTTCACGTCCTGCATCTTCACCGATACATTCTAAAATAGTCTTGACCGCTTCAGATAATTTATTTATACGTTCATTTTTTTGTTCGGTGGTTTCGTTTAAACGTTGTTTTGTACCTATACCTAAAATCCCATTAAAAAAATTTTTGATCACTATACTATAAGAAGTACTAATTTTACATTATAAACTTACTTGGCCAACTTAAACCATCCATATCAACGGGAGTTTCTGTACGTAAAGGTGATTGAGAACGAGAGGACGTTGAAAGTAAATCTTCATTTCTATCTTTATTAACTTTGGAAAGAGACAAATTTTTAGCAAATATTTCAGAATCTCGGGTATAGTTCATTTTTTGTTAATATTGATATTTAAATTTTTATATATATATATAAAAAAAAAAAAATCCTATTCGCGTCGTATTTCCTATTTTCATCAACCAATTGTGACTCACATTTTATACAATTCAATGAACCTCTCACGCGTATCAAGTGATCAACACCCAACAAACTCTAAAATGGGAGCGACCATATTGACAAATTAACAAAAATTATTGCTAAATTCACAAAATAAAGTTTACTTCCAAGAAAACTTTTCTCGTTCTTCCAAAATCCCCTCTTTCATATCCGGAGAGCATTATACGCCCAATAAAAATACTAGATTAATTTAATAAAATAAATTCGTTTTTGACGCGGATCTGTGATTACCGAATGTCAAATTTCGTGAAAATTAATTACTGGGATGGGCGTTAATTAACCAAATTTAATTAACCGTTAACATTATGCAATTTGGTGTTCCTTATCTTTAATCGATTCGATTGTTAGATCTACCAAAATAAATGTTTATAACTTTCCAACAAGATTAACGGGGGTTTTTTTTAACAAAAAAAAAAATGTCATATAGGGCAATAATATTTGATCTGGGTGGAGTATGCGTTGGCTCACCTTTTCAAGGGATCTCTGAATATGAAAAAAAATATGGTTTACCGGAGAATTACATTAATATAGCAATGTAAAAATATTATTTTATATTTTAAATCCAAGTTTTCAACTAATCTAAATTCACTTCTAAATGATTAAAGCGTAAATGGTGGAGAAAATGGAGCATTTCAAGTAATTAAATTTTTATTAAAATATTTCTTTTCTGATATAATTTTAATCAGATGCTTTTTAATCATATAAACATGCGATATCTCGGCATTTTAAATCGAATTTTTAATATCAATACCTTTCTTACGTTAAAAATTTATAGCGGTTAGAACGTGGTGAACTTTTCATTCCAGATTTCTATGAAATATTTGGTAAAGAATTATCGGATCCTGTAAATAAAGAATACTATTATCAATACTTACGGTTGCGCGGAAGTAAAGGTACTTACTCTCGTTTACGCGATTGTCATTGCAAGTTTCCTAAAATCTGTAAGATAACAAAGATCTTTTCGTTTAATAAGGTTCAACTATACCATCTCTTCCTGATAAAATTATAATTGATGGCAAAGAATTATTTCGAACAATGATGTCAGAAGCTACAATAATTAACCCTATTGTGTTTAACGCTCTTAAAAGGCTTCGTGAAAGTAATAAATTCAAAATCGTTGCTTTAACCAATAATTACCAGTTACCAACTCAAGACCATAAAGAAATCGAATTACTAGGAGGAATGCTTCCAATGGAACTTAAGGATTTATTTGATGAATATATTGAATCAAGTGTCGTTGGGTTACGCAAACCTGACCCAAAAATCTTTTTATATACCTGTGAAAAGTTAGGAATTCAACCCAATGAGGCCGTATTTCTTGATGATATTGGAATGTATGTAGAAAATTAATATAATTTTTAAATTTTTCTTTATTTCTTTAACGCGTTTATTCATTCGATTATACTTAAAGAAACTTAAAAGCCGCGAGGAATTTAGGGATGAGAACCATAAGTATAACCTTTTTTTTTTTAACTCTTTATAATCCTTTGACAAAATTCATAATATATTATTAACTTGGATTTTGAAATTTTAGAAGTTGAATTAGGTAAATCTAAAGATGCGATAAGAGTATTAGAAGATTTGGTGGGATTTCCTCTTCTAGATGATTCAAAATTGAACTCAGCTAAGCTTTGAATATTTAAATTCGAAAATTTCAAATTTCAAAGTTTTTTTTTTTTTTTGGTAGATATAATAATTTTATGTTTTAAATTAACAGCCATTATATATATTTTTTTTCTGTACTTTATTTTACATATTTTCATAGCATATACGTAGAATTTCATCAAGTTTGAATAAAAAAAATTTTATTAAAAATTATTATTATATTTTTATATAATATTTTTAACATTTTAATATATAATAATTTTACATTTACTTGTTATAATATTATATAATGCATTTCTATTGATAAAATCTTATATACTTTAGTTATTTAAATTAAATAATAGCTTTTAAGTTTGCAA